CTAAAAATGTGGGACAAAAACACAAATCAGACCAGAAAACACACTGCAGATCTTATTGACTTTTAATATGAAGGGGACTCCCGCCACCACACACACTGAAAACAAACACACACAGACACACACACACTGCCTGTTATCAGCTGGATCTCTAAAAATGTGGGACAAAAACACAAATCAGACCAGAAAACACACTGCAGATCTTATTGACTTTTAATATGAAGGGGACTCCCGCCACCACACACACTGAAAACAAACACACACATTCACACACACCCACAGCTAGCTCAGGATAGCTGGCTGTTAGCTGCTCTCCATGAATTCAAACTGATATTTTGTTTGAGGAGAAGTGAAAAACTGTGTTTGTGGTTTTATTTGGAACCTGCAGGAAACTTACCAAACGAGGCTCTAAAGCAATATTTCCACATTTTTCTGACCTTTGACCTTTTTATTGCTCTGGGCTCCTTGCAGGTCTGTGCAGCTAAACGTGAAGCAGCGTCTCAGACATGAACTCCCAGCAGGGAGCCGCCTGCACGCGTTCTGCTCTCAGCTCGCCTCTCAGAGTCCGGCGCACCTGAGGAAGGAGGCGGAGCCTCCCCTTACCTGTGATGAAGACGGCCTTGCCCTGCGCGGGCAGGCCGGTCCCGGAGTCGGAGCGGACGCAGTAGACGACGGCCAGCAGAACCAGCAGCAGCACGGCCGGCAGGCAGAACGCCCACAGCCGCTCCACCAGTACCGTGGCCCCCAGCCAGGCCACCAGGGTGGGCCCCGCGCTCAGGTGGGACGCCAGGATCTTCTTCATGGCCCCGCCCACAAACACCGTCACCACGGCCAGGTAGATCCAGAAGGGAAGGTTGTAGTCGTCCATCGTGTTCCAGGCGTCGGTTCAGTCTCTCTCTGCTGAACACACTCCTCTCTCTGACTGTCTGCAGGAGAGTGCAGCCCTCCGGCTCCACCGCTCAATATATAGAGGCTGCAGGGGGAGGGGCAACAGGCTGCATTTAATCTGCACACACACACTGGTATCTGACCAGCCTCGCTGCTGATTGGAGCTTTGGTCACGTCTCTGATGTGCAGAGAGGAAGAAATGGAGCTGCTGATTGGCTGGAGGGAGTCACTGCTCTAAGGGGCCCCATCCGAGGGACCAACCTGTCCCCATCTGTCCCCCAGCAGGTCTGAGCAACAGAAAATGATCAAAGTCCAGAAGCTTCTTCCTCACATCCAAAGCCTGCTGGCCTTCAGCGCCTGTCAGTTGCCATTTGCTCCACTAGGTGTCACTGTGACCCTCAGCAGAGCTTTTAGCATCTGGGTTTAAAACAAGAAAATATTCAAGAAAGAAAAGTTTTATGAAGCGTTTTGATTTCAGAGGAGCAGAGAGACGAGGCGCCAGGGGAATCTTTAAATCTGGACTTCCAGATGATCTGAGCTCCGTCTCCCAGCAGTCACGTGACCGCGTGACATCATGTGGCTACCTGCTTGGTGGTTGAATCATTTCCTGTTTGCTTTGACTCGCTGTGATGCTGACAGTTCCTGAGGAAGTAACCCCGGCTCACGATGTGGCTGCCGCCGTGCTTCGCTGTGGCCGAGACGTTTTTATAGACCCTTCCTGGTTTCTTCCGGTGCTGGCGGCCAATCATAACCCAACCCTGGCTAACCCATTTTGCTGTTACGGTTACAGGTGTATAAAAATCTAACGTAACAATGAGAAGCGACGCCTGGTGCTGCTGTTGCACCCAGGAAACCCTGCTTCATTCACTCTTTCCTGCCTGGAGGTTCCAGTTTGTCCCATCAGACCAGAAGACGTCCTGCGTCCAGGCTTGCAGTCTGTAGTCCAGACTTGAGGAAAACTTGGCTGTCTCATGGAGAACAGATGGAAACTACTGTCCTGCCCCTCGCAGCCTCTCTGCCGCTTACTGTCTTTCATTAGAAAAGTTTTTTATATTTCTCTCCCCAGCAGATGTTTGTTTCTCAGAAGAGAAAGGAAGAAATGTCAGGTTTCATCATTTTGTCTCTACCTGGCATGCTAACAGGGAGCAGCTGTAACTTAACACGTCGTTCCTGAACCTTCCAGTAAGGCTGCTCCGTTTCTCTGCAACGAGGAAAAGCGACATTAGGAGCATGAAGGCCGGCAGCACCCGCTGAGAGGAGCAGCAGCTGAAAGCTCTCGGAAAATCTGACACGACTCTTTGTTCAGAGAGCTGAACTCGTCTGACCCAAGACGGGACAAAAGCAGCGACCAGCAGACACACACTTACTGCTGGACAGCAGCTGGGAGGAACAGGAAGTTTCTGCAGGCTGCAGTCGGACAAAATAAAAGCACTCTGACGCCTCCAGCTGGTCGTCTGTCCCTGTCCTCCCGGAGCTGATGGAGGAGCAGCTGATCAAATATTCACTCCAGTTTTATTGATGATGCAACAACAAATGTTGTCTTTACAAAAAATCAATAATAAATTGCTAACGATCATCAATCATCATGAGTCAAACTTTGATGCATCAGTGAAGTTTGACTGAATGTCTGGGAGGCAGATGAAGGCTCTCCGGACCGACCTCTGTCCTGCAGGTTCTACCAGCTGGTTCTGGATTCAGAACCGCCTGACGGGTCAAAGTTCAAAGCAGGATGAAGTTCTGCCATGCAGAGAGAGAACTGCACACCGTTCCTCCTGTTGGGATCGGCTGCAGGCAGTAGAAGGAATGGAAATGATATAAAGGATAAAATACGGATCCAATCTGGAATAATGTCTTTTCCTTCCAAACTTGTCCTCATTGGACCCGCTACCCCGACTGCAGTGATCCTGCATCGGCTTCAGGATTGGGAACGGAATGTCCCCGGCATCAAAACAGGTTTTTCTGTCTGTTTATTTATCTTTGACTTGAGAGAACCTTCACGGCTCAATGATTTGTTCCCGCTTGTTCATCTGACTCAGGTTTCAGTCAAACAAACAGACCTGAGTCAGAGAACAGCCGGATCCGGGAAGGAGTCCTGCCGCTCCCGTCGGCATCTGCTCAGCACAACGTCGCCCATCTTCCCCTGACTCCATCACCTGGCAGCTCCCAGAGCAGGTCTAGCCCCTTACCCCTAATCCCAGCAGCATTTCACACGCATCCCATCCAGTCCTCACGTGTCCCAGATCAGCTTTAGCTCAGGAGAAAGCCCAGCCCGGGCGGGATGTGCAGCAGCTTACACGCAACCTGCCGACTCCCAGAGGAGAAGCCGACCCGGTCCCTGCGGTGGACCCGGCATGCCATGGGCCTCTAGGTCTGAGGGAAGGAACCAGCTCTGCAGGATCAGAGTTTAACCCTGACCTTAAATGTGTCTTAATCCCCAAAGGAAAACAGGGTTTTCAACACAACGAGCCGCTAACTTTTAGAATGAGCTCCAGTTTCTCCCCAAACTCCTCAGCTGGACCTCAAAATAAACTGGGAGTTTTTAGAAACAAGAGAAAATGTTTCATCCTTCACCTGATCATGAGAGGCTGCAGCTTCATGAATCCAGAGGACGCCATGGTCTCCTCAACATGATGAAGGGAGAGCAGCAGTTTCATGACTGGGAAGGAGCAGAGACGAGGAATAACTCCAGGATCGGAGATATTTGGGTCAAACCAAGGAGGGATTCTGCCGAGTGAAGACCTGCGGCATCATGGAGGGAGATAAAAAATCAAGAAGGAAGCTGCAGACAAGATGTTCAGCTGGATATAACTTTACTGATATGATGCCTAGACACAGGAAGAGAAGTTTCCTCCTGGCCGTTATCTGGGCTGGTTACTTCCTGCTGGTGTTTCAGGTTTTACTGGTTTGAACTGGAGGCCTAAATCTCAGTAGCTGTCATGGAAACTGTCCGGTTCAGACCAGAACTCGGATCACAGCTTTCAGGTCAGACTCTGAAGCTGACAGGAAGGACGCTGGGACCACAAACAGGAAGTACGAGATGACCAGACTGAGGCGGTTTCCATGGAGATCCTCTTGAGCGACACGGACATCAACAAACATCCATCCTCGTGTGTTTACTGGGGATTGTTTCACCCGCATAACCAGATAGAGCGAGTCACACACTGCTACACACACACTCCCGCAGGGCTGGGATTTGAACCCAGGACCTTCTCGCTAGCAGCCGCGCCACGCTGCAGCCGTTAGGTTTCTGAACGCAGCTCAGGTAGACGGCGCTGCTGAGGACGAACCGGATCTCCACAAGGGAAACCAGGGAATGTAGAATAATTTATGCTGGATTAATTTGGGATGTAGTGTTGAGGAAAGGATTTCTTATGCAGCTCATAAGAAAAATAATTTAGATTTTTCTTTCCAACCTGAAAAGTTCAGCCTGATCTTCCTCCTCCTCTTCCTCAGCTGGTGGTTTATTGTTTGCAGGTCAAACTGATTCATCCAGTTTGGTTTTGCTGCTGCTGCTGGAAAACAGCTGGACTCAGAGACACCAGGAGCGCCAGTCAGAACGGGACGGCCTGTTTCATCATCATCATCATCATCATCATCATCATCATCATCATCATCACACAGAGAGCCACTCAGCACAGCTTGATCTGTCATCCTCCTGGTTCTCAAGCACAATCAGAACTTCAGATTAAATTCAAAAACATCTTAACCCTCAAAAATATAAAAAACTTACACATTAATTGCCATTAACTAATTCTATAGATTTTAACGTTAAAGTTTTTGCAAGTTTTAATTAAAAATGTTGCTGATTTTGTCAATATAGTTTTTTTAGTAATTGCAATTAATTAAAGATCCTGAAATTAATTTGAATAACATTTTTAATCAAGTTCCTACATTTAAAAAAATCAACATATTTTATTCTCCAACAGAAAACATGAGATAAATAGAAATGTAGGAGGCTGACAGGATTCCAGAATGAATCGGTCCAGGTTCCGGGTGGTGGACCAGCTTCTGGACGTGACTGAGCTCAGGGACGCATCCTGTCAGGATGAACCTGTTCCTGTGTTCAGACGGCCTGAAGGTCAGCGGGAAGTGGAAGGGTTAATCTGGCCAACAGACATGTCCCGTCAGCCTCTGGCTGTCCAGGCGTCTGTCCCAGAATGACATCATGGCGGAGGGCCGGGGCCGCCTCCCCTCGGGGCCCCTCTCAGATCAACGCTCTCTCTGCGGTGAGAATCGGGTCGTGTCCTCTGTGCACCACAACAAACCGCCAGCAGCGCCACATTCTGTGTTCCTCTGAACGGCACACTGGATCCTTGGGCCCGGCGCCATGGCCTGGAACCGGCTGCACTCGGGTCCTGATCCGCACCGGGACACAGAGGAACATCGTGACCTAACGCAGCTCCTGATCTAATTACTGTCCAGGAAACATTTCACAGCCTCACAGGTCAAAGGTCAGCCTGATGAAAGGCCGTCGTTCTGCTTACTGATGGAGAATGTCCAACTGTTTGGGTTCCGGTGAGCAGCTCAACGTCATGGAGCGGGTCAGAGGTCATGGAGCGGGTCAGAGGTCATGGAGCGGGTC